GCGTGGAAGCTGGGAGGCTCTCCGTGGTGAGGAGGTGTAGAGGGCTAATTGCGAGTGCATGAGCTCAGCTGGGGGCCACTTTCTCCACTCTGTGCCCACAGATGGCTTGTGAGTCACTGACAGGTCACCAGCCACAGTGGGGTTGTTGGAGACAGGGCAGACCCTGAACATAGACAGAAGACAAGTCGGACCTGGTGCTGGGCTCAGGGGGCCCAGGGAACTTGCATGCTCTTCCTAGTCCCTGTCTAGTGCTACTGCACCCTACTAGGAAGGCACTCCATCTCCATCTCCCTGAGCACAACACCCCTTTTTATGGCAGCTCTGCCAGCCCTGGCACTCTGCCACTCACCTCACATACATGGAGTACCCATGCTATGCCAGCAGTGAGAGACCAAGGCAGGTAAGACATGATCTCTGCTCTCAGGAAGTTTGCAGGTGAGGGGTCAGGGCCTGGCCATATGTCTCAGGCTTCCGAATCTGCCAGTGGGGGCTTGGACCCAGGGCACCTGCACACATCCCAGAGCTGGGGCTGTTGAGGCACCTACCCCAGGCCTCTGCAAGATGGCCAGGTGCCAACCCCACCCCTAATCCTGAGGAGGAGGCTGCCAGACCAGCAAGTACCTCAGGACAGACATGTGCCCAAGGGTCACCCCTGGGAAAGTGGTCCAAAGGGGGTTCTAGAAAGTGACCTCCTTGGGAAAGCTGGGAAGGTACGGGGAGGGAAATCAGGACTAAGCTTCTTTCAAGACATCTCCCCTTGCCCCGCTATGAATGTTTCCAGCATGACCGGTCTGGGGTTGCTGGAGAGATTCAAAGGGTGCTTTCCTGCCTATGTGCGTGTGCTGCGTGCATCTCTCACTGAGCTCTTTGAGGACAAGGCCCGTGGCTCATTGCCTACCTGGGGTCTGGCCTAGTGCCAGTCTCAGAATCACTTCTGAGACAAACGTCAGAGGTCTCCAGTCTTCTGTCCAGCATGTGAAATCCTCTGTAGTAGTCACTAGTCAATTGGCATTAATTAATTCATTCACTCTTCATTCATTGGTTTCTTCATTGAAGCAATAGCACCTCTGCAAAGCGCTACTTTGGCTTCTGATTAAGCTCATTTCTGGGAAGCTCATCCAATCGACATTGTGACCATCTGACTTTTAAGACTTCTTACTGTTGATGATTTCAAAACTGACTCCCTAAGTTCACCTTCTGCTGGCATTTCTTCTGCCCCCGGAGAATCAGTTTAACCCTCCTTTACATAACAGCCTTCAGAGCATTCAAGGCATGCTCAACTCTCTCTTCCTTCCTGCCTGCCTTCCCTCTCCCCAACTTCCTTCCTTCCCTCCCTCCCTTCTTCCCTTCTTCCTTCTCTTTTCTTCCTTCCCTTCTTTCTTTTTCTTTCCATCTGTAGACAATTATTGAGCTTTCAGTATGTGTCAGGCACCAGAAAAACAATGGCTAAAAAGCATGTACAGCCCCTGACCTCATGAAGTTTACAGCCTAGTTAGGGAGGCACTTCAGATCAACCAAATAGGTAACTGCAAAACTGTCTCTGGTAAGTGCAACCCCAAGACCAAGGAAGGCATCAGGTAGAGCATGTAAAAGTGGGATACCATCCACAGAAAGGGCTTTCTTTTGGGTGAAACACCCCTGTGGCACTTCCTCATATAATGGGGTTCCTGGACTCCTCCCCACCTGGTCACCCTTTTTGCCACTGTCCCCTTGAGAAGGTCCCCAGGTCTGGACCCACTGCTCCAGGAGGGATTGGCCAGCTTGGTGCCCAGGGGGCACCCCTCTCAGGTTGGACTCTGCCCTCCCATTAGTGCAGCCCAAGTCTGCCTGCTCATTTCTTCCTGAGGGGCAAGGCTCCTCCCAGAAATGTTCACACATGTGGCCTCCCCCAGACTGTGTTTGAGCTGTTGAGTGTCTGGCCTTGAGTTTGAGTCCTTACACTGGCCCTGGGAATGCTCATCTCTCTGGTATGGACTGTTCCCTCTACCCAACAGGGTGTGTTCCAAGTCTGGATTCTAATGCTGGCTGTGAAGCTCAGGGATGCATTCCCTGTTAATGCTCTACCTGATGCCTTGACTTGGTCTTGGGTTTCCACTTACCAGTCTGCTTATCCTGGATTAGGTACCTACAGGCAGGTTCTCAGGGCATATGAGGAGTTGGGGGACTAAGGGACCTAAGCCCCTGAAAGAGTGCTGCTATGGAGTGGCATCCACCCCGGGGCTCCAGAAAGAGGTACACAGGGCGTGGGCCTGAGCCAAGTAAGATGCTGCTGTTCTGTGATCTCTGCCCTAGCTCCCATGCCCCTTCTCAGCCCACTATCAATACAGATGGGGAAATGGTGCCAGATGCATGTTAGTTTGTGTGTCTGTGTGGTGTGCACATGCCTGTGTGTAATGGTACAGTGTGTGAGCCTGTAGGAGTTGTCTGATAGGCCTTGCTGTTGGCTGGCATCCACCTTTTTGCCACTGGTAACCCTGTAACTTGGAAATAGCCAGGTCATCAGAGTTCTGGCTAGGGCCCCACTCACCTGCCTTGCCTAACAACCATACCAGGTGACCCGTCTGTTCTGCCTGTGGAGTCCTACTCACCATGCCAGCCTCCTCAGGCACCTGGCCAGGACCCCCTCCTCAGTCCTTTACTTCTGCCTACTAGTCACACCCCCTCTCCCAGCTCCCAGCCCACTCCTCACCTCAGCCCCCACAGGAAGCCTTTGAGACACCTGATCCTGCTATTTCTCTAGTTATAACACTTTCATAGCATGGTCTCCCATAAAGGAAGTCCAGACCTACCCCACCCCTCATGCCCAGCCCCAGCCAGGCCCCCAGCCCCAGTTTGCCCCACTCCCCTTCCAGGCTGGGCCATCCTGCACGACTCGAAGTTCTGGGCACACCGTGCTCTGGGCTCCAGGCCTTTGCACAGGCTGCTCCTTCTACCTCAAATTCTGGCCCCTCCAACTCACTTCACCCATCACCTCCTCCTCATCCTTTCAGACTCAGACAATGACCCCTCCAGGAAACCCTCCCTGACCCTTCTCGCTCTCATAGACTGTAGGCCCTAGAAGGGCAGGGTCCATATGGGATTTATTATAGCATTTTCAGAGGCGAATACTCAATAAATCTTTTTAAATGAATGAAATAATAATCTCTATGGGTTTCTCATTTCATATCCGTAAAATGAATATAATGCTATTTGACACACAGGGCTCCGAAGAGGGTGATGGGAAATGACGTCTGTGAATTTTCCATCATCATGCTAGACATATAATAGGTGCTCCAGAAACACCGTTTTTATTTCCCTGCCCTTTAATATTTGTGGATAAACATGTATTTTCCATTTAAAAAACTAAATTTTTGGAGTCCTTTTGACCCCAAAGCAGGACTGGCTTCTTCTCCTTTTGACCCCAAAGTACGACTGGCTTCTTGTTTTCCAGATTCCCACTCAAATGTTACCACCTCACAGAGATATTTTTGGTCCACCCTAGATAAAACAGCACCTCCTGCCCCCCTCCCCATTGCCAAAATCACTCTTCAAATACTTGCCACATTGTGACCTGAGCTTTATAATTTTTTTCACTCGTTGATCATCTGTCTTTCCATGCCTAGAATGTAAGCACCATGAAGGCAGAGAACTTCACTGACATTTTCATTGCAGCAGCCTGAGTTCCCAGAGCTGAGCCTGGCAACATGGCAGCTGTCTAAAGGTCTCCAGGGCCAAGACAATGAAGTCTCTAGGTATTCCCTGGGGACAAGTACCTCAAATACCTCTCTCTCTCTCTCTGTCTCTGTCTCTCTCTCTCTCTCTGTCTCTCTCTCTCTCTGTGTGTGTGTGTGTGTGTGCGCGCGCGCGTGTGTGTGCGTGTGTGTGTGTGTGTGTGTGTGTGTTTGGATGGAGGAATAGAAGTTGGTGAGTATCTCTTCCCTTACCTCATTGTACATCTCAGTGAGGTAGGGACTCAGTGAAGACTCTCACAGCAGCTCTCTGTCTATATTCCCTGAGGGAAACCAAGAGCAATGGCCTCTCCAGGGCCATGCAGATGCAGGGGAGTGGGGAGCACCTTCTTTGTGGTGACCCTGGGCATTTGGAACTGTACCCCGGACTCACAACATCAAGGAGGGGCTGGGGTGTATCTGCGGTTTCTCCCTTGAAGAGATCTGCTCTGCTGCCCTAAGCTGGGAGCCCAGGCCCAGGCCTGCCTCTTATTGGTGACTTTTTTATTCCTTGGGCTGTACCTGCTCCTGTCTTCACTGTTGCCTTCCCGTCACCAGTGTCTGGTGGGCCCTGTCCTACCTGCGTTCCCTGTTGGTATCAAATTCTCACACTTGTGGATGGAGTGGTGTAGCTCCCTGAGTCTCCCCTCCCTATGCTTCCCCCCTTGGGCTTCCTGGGATCAGCCCCCATCCCTCAGCCACTGCAAGGCCCTGCTGGCCCTCCCACCCTACCAGTCTGACCCTCCTCCGAAGCATGTGAGAGGGATTCCAGAGAAGAGCTCCCAGAGCCTCCCACCCAACCTGTTGCTTCCTTCCCCACTGAGGAAGGACACTCTTGTCTCCACTTGGCCCCTGCCACCCCTCTAAGGGGACTCAGCATCAGACAAGCCTATCTGACTTCAGGCTTGGATGGGTGGGGAGGGCAGAAGGCAGTGAGGGTTTGACCAGGCTGTGACTTTGGACCCAGTGTGGAAAGGACCCCTGCTGGCTCAAGCCCCAGCCCTAGGCTCCAGGGTCCGAAGTCATGGCCTCATCCTCAGAGCTTTCAGTACTCCTGGTTCTAGAGCTTCCAGTCCTGTCAGGGTCCCAGAATGTTTGAATGGGAAAGGATTTCAGAGTTCAGACATTTGTCGAGTGGGCTCCACAGTGCCTGGGAGCTGATCTGTATGCACATGTATGTGTGCATTTGTGTGTCATGGACTAACCGCTGGGGCATGAAACCCACCCCTATTTTGACCATAGAACCCCCAACTTCTTCCTATGCTACCACAGAGAACAGAGGTGCCACATGAGTTACAATTCAAACAAGAGGATTCATTGTTTTAAAAAAAAAGGATTTGAAAATCAGGAAACCTAAACAAAAGTCATTTTACTTATGGAGAAACTGAGGCCCATAGATTGTAAATGGCTTCTCAAGGTCACAGTGGTGTCAGTAGCAGAGCTGGTACTGTACCAGGCTGCCTGGATCATAGACTGATGTTTTTGCCAAGACAGACCGAAATGTTCCTCTCAGGAGGTGGCAGGTGGGGACTGAGTGCCAGGAAGGCACCATCCAAAGAAGTGGGTTAAGGTCACAGCCTCACAGTTCCCAAGGGGCCCCCTGAGAACAGTTGCATTGGAAAGATCACTTGAATATGAACTAGAGGCTTGAGGTTTTGGAGTGGAAAGGGGCAGGGTAAGGAAGAACAGAGTAGGGGGTGGGGGGGACAGGGATTCATCCTCTGGGTTCCTCATACCCGCAGTGGGAACAGCTTCCCCACCCCAAGCACCTGATTTCAAAGTCTCCCCTCCACTGATGGGAGGAGCAGAGAGAGCTCATGATCAGCATGGAGCGGGTTGGCTGGCCCTGAGGTAATGATTGCTGGGGTGGGAATGCTGTGAATCAGGGCCCTGAACTTTCTGTCTCAGGGGACAGCCCTGGCTGTCGGCAGCAGAAATGGCACAGTAGGGGGCTCCGTGGCACTCACTGTGTCTCCCCTAGTGCCCAGCTGGGCATCCAGGAAATGCTACTGAATAAATGGAGTGTGTTCCTCCTCCCCCAGCACCCCCACAATCACCAGCCTCCTCCCTCTCCCTCCCCCTGTCCTTTAGCACCTACAAGGACTGAGTTATTCTTAGTAAGGTTCATTCATCAAAGCGTGACAAATGGTGTCCTGGGAGGAATGCCTGGGCACCATGGGGAGCTGGAGGGTGGGGTGGGGTGCAAACGGCCCATTTGAGGGGAGAGGCCATTGCCTTCAGAGAGCTCCAGATTGCGGGGGAGACACAGCCCTGTCCTCATGAAGATCTCAGTCTGAGAAGACTCAAAGATCTCAGTCCAAAAGACACAAAGAGCCTGTTCTTGGGGAGACCTAGTCCCTGTCCTTTGGGGGAGGCCCCAGTCTGAAGCGGGTAGACAGCCCTGTCCTCACGGATCCCCAGTCTGAGGAGACCCAGCTCCATCCTCAGGGAACCCCTGTCTGAGGGGAGACCCAGCTCCATCCTCAGGGAGCCCCAGTCTGAGGGGAGAGGTGGCCCCAGTCTGAGGGGAGACCCAGTCTGAGGGGAGAGGGGGCCCCAGTCTGAGGGGAGACCCAGTCTGAGGGGAGAGGGGGCCCCAGTCTGAGGGGAGACCCAGTCTGAGGGGAGAGGGGGCCCCAGTCTGAGGGGAGACCCAGCTCCATCCTCAGGGAACCCCAGTCTGAGGGGAGACCCAGCTCCATCCTCAGGGAGCCCCAGTCTGAGGGGAGACCCAGCTCCATCCTCAGGGAGCCCCAGTCTGAGGGGAGACACAGCCTTGTCCTCAGGGAACCATCAGTTTGAATCAGAGACACAGCCCTGACTTCAGAGCGCTCCCTGTGATGGAGAATAATCCTCCCATATTCCCCCCTTCCCCAGCCCTTAACGAAATCCCAGTCTGGAGGGAGAGATCCAATTTCCTCTTCTCAAGCATGCTCTAGTCTCATGGCAGAAAAAGAGCTGCCATCCCTGCTGGAGAAAATACAGTCCACCCAAGTCGGACTGAAACTCAATATGACAAAAGGTAGTGTGGCGGGGTATCCGGGAGCATGTGCAGCCACCATGGCTACTGCATGTGGGCAACCTGACGATGACAAAGAGTGGGCTCCCAGAGACACTTGACTGGGTATGCTTACCAAGAAACGTACAGACCACAAAGGGGCAGCAGTCATGGGGACTGAGATCCTGGCCCTGAGGAAAAGGGTGAAGGCACGAGCCCAGTGGGCTGATCTAAATCAGGTCCAGCTTCACTGGGAGGGCAGTTGGAGAACCCATCTGCAGGCTCTCACATTCAGTCTAAAACCCGGTACTCATTGCAAGCCAAACAAAACCTCACTGAAGATTAAACGTGGCCTAGGGCCATGAGTCTGCAACCTCCTGGACCCCAGGAAAGAATTCCTGATAGAGGAGAGCTCTGAGCCTGATTTTGGGGAAGGAGCTGAGGGCCACGCTGCCCCTTTTATTCTGGCCTACAGGCCTGGCTTCTATCTTCAGGGCCTCTCTCACCCTACCTGACATGGGAGGCCAGAGCCACCCCACTCCTCACCAGCTCCCCTATGACCAGTAAGCCACAGCTGGCCAGCGGGCGGGGGCTCAGTGTCTGTGGTGGGGATGTCACCTTTCTTGGCAGGAAGGTAATTTCCCTGTCAGGGGAGGGAGCCCAATGTGCTGCTCATAAGGCCACTGTTAAATGAGCGGGTCTGGAAGTTCTGGTTGGACGGACTTTCCTTCCCTTCTCCGTGCCTTAAGTGCCAAGTGGGGGTACTGCTGCCCTGCGTGCCTTTGCCACTCCTCCCACTGAAGGCTAACTTCAACGAAATAGGTCTCTGGCCCCTCCCCAGTCTCTTCCTGCGGAGACCGTCGAGGTCTGTAAGTTTAGGGGAGTGGAGGGGCCGGCTTCGGTCTCCCCAAGTTCTGTCCCCCAGTCAGGCCTAGTAGCTCTCTTGGGACTGAGGGGCAGTCCCAGAGGGCTGCAGTCAGTGGTCCCGGGGGCCGCGAGGTGGGGGGAGGGGTGGCGAAGGGCGGGTTCCAGTGGCCTAATTAGGGCGCTTTGGCCCAGAGCCGCGGATGATAGCGGCGGTGGGTAATTAGAGCGCATTAGCCGTGCCCCTGCCATCCTGTCATTTCTCCTCGCGCCCGGGGTGTGTGGTAGGAGGCGAAGCGTTGCCGGCTCGGCTGAGTTAGACTCTCGGAAGCCCAGGAGGGGACGCGGGGGGCGGCAGAGGCCGCGAAGAAGGGACTCCCGCGGGGGAAGGCGCAGACGCCGTCCCCTGGGAGTCACCAGTCCCGGGCTCCTCGGCGCGCGCGCCCCGTCGGCGGCGGGAAGGGGGCGTGACCTGCGTCTCCTCTCGCCGCCGCCGCGCGCTCCTCCGCGACTTCCAGTCAGGCGTCTGCACCCAGCCACGTGTCCTGTCCCTGGTGCGCAGGTGGACTGGAAAAGAGGGAGGCAAACGCAGTGGACAGGCAGAGACCTCCCAAATCCCACGTGCCCCGAAGAATCAGAGACGGCTGCAGACCTAGGGCAGCCGTAGGAAAAAACGTCAGCCACATCTCGAGGGAGTGGGGTGGAGTGGGGCTTGCTCTAGCCGAGCCCTGACATCGATTCTGCGCGGGGCGGGGAGGGGAGTTTATTTATTAGCCAGATTAGCCAGCATTAATGGGGGAGCGGCGGCGGCGGGGACATAGTTGGCATAGCTGGCATAGCGGCGGGGCCTCCTGCGGCGCGGGGCTCCGCGGCTTCAAAGGGGTTTAAAGAGGCCCTTGGTGGCACTGCCACGGCCCCGCGGGGGAGGGCGTGGGCGCGGGCGGCGGGGGAGAAGGCGGCCATTGTGCACCGAGGGATTAAGGCTCTGGCCTGGAAGGAATTTTAAACTGCCGCGAGCCGGAGCCCCAGGACTCTCCTCCTGCCCCACCCCTGCCCTCCCGAGCACGCGGAGGTGTTACCTGCTTTCCCGTGTCTGGGGTGGAGGGGGTGTCCTCTCTCCTCCCTCAAACTGGAGGCACCTAGGGTTACCAGATTTGGCAAATAGTATAAGTCTGTCCCAAATATTGTATGAGACAGACTTATGCTAAAATATTATTCTTTGTTTATGTAATATTCAATGTAATTGGATATCCTGTATTTTTTTCCTGGCAGCCCTAGAGGCACTGACATGTCTAATCCATGTCTGGAAACAGATTGGTGGTTCCCGAAAACCCAGGGGATCTCCCCCATCTGAGAGATCCCTAAGGGCAGATGTCTTGTCTCTCCCCTCACACTGGGAGTTTCCTGAAGCCAGATGCTGTGTTTCACCCTAAAGAAGGGAGCTCTGAGAGCACTGTATGTGTCTCCCATCAGACTGGGAGCTTCCTGAGGACAGGGGCTAAATTTCACCCATGAAAGTAACACTTCAAGGTCAATGTCTGTGACCTGTGACACTGGGGTTTCCTGAGACTTGGTCTGTCTGCTTCCTAGAAGGCAAGCCTGTGTCTCCTCCCTCACCCCACACTCCCACATCCCCAACCACCCCAGGCTGCCGGAGGCTCCTCCTCCATTAGTGTTGCTTCCTACCCATAGGGGGTGCTAGGGGCCCAGTGGACTGACCTGCAGATGGATGGGACTTGCTTCTTGAGACTCAGGGCTTCAGTCCTCTGGGGTTGATGCACTTGGGAATATTGGGGGTGGGGTCCCCATCCTGTGAGGCACCTGACCTAGTCATGGCCCTTGCTCAGGCAGTTGAGGGCCAGGTGTGCCAGGGCTGGAGGCAGTGGCCAGCATGTAAGAGAAGCACTGAGCACTGGGTACCCACTATTTCTTCCAGGAAGGGACAGTGTGACCCTTGGTTCAGAACATCCTGCCCACCTCCTAAGTATTGAAGCTAAGCCCCAGACCTCCATCAGCCTCACCAGACCCCAATGTCTAGCCTTTGCTTGAGCTGTTCTTTCTGTCAGAAACACTCTCTCTTCTTGCTTTTGAGGACAGCTGAAGTCTCACTAATTCTTCTGGATGCTCTGACCATCAGCAAGGTGGGCTGCTTGTGCCTGGGGGTCTTGGTGAAAAGAATCCTCCATCTGCTCCCTTCTTCCTCAACAACTTTGGCCAGAGGGGCCAAAGAGGGGGCTAAGGTGGGGGAGGGGAGAGACAGGAAGGTGGGGGGAGCATAGGCAGAAGGGGAGCAACAATAGGAACCTCTTTCCCCCCACCCCATCCCCCTGAAGCACCTTCCCAAATCCCTTCATCCCCTCAAGGCCTCTGAACTCTTTCCCCTTGAAGCTGAGCAAAGCTCTGGAGAAGCTCTTTCCCACGGTCACAGCCTCAACAATCCCCTGCCCCCTTCTTTGCAGCCACCTCAGTCTCACCCTCCGCAGAATGCAGGCCCACTCCGTTGCTGAAGGGCCTCCTCCTTGGGCCAGGGCGCCTGCTTCTGCCAGTGGCATCATCACCCCACTCCTCAACCACCAGTCATCAGGTTGGCAATTAGCTACTTCCTCTCAGCTGCATGAGGCCACCAAACGTCACAGCCCCTCCCCTGGCCTGGCACGGGAGGAGTGCTGGAGGGTGCCCCTTACCCTTTGTAGTCAGTGCCAAGTCCTGGCTCCTTCCCTACAACCTACTGAGTGCTAGGGTAATGAGCCTACCATCTAGGGAGCAGAAAGCCTTGCTGCCTTCTCCCCCCTTCAAACCTCCTCCACCATGTCACCCTATCCCATTGGGTGAGGACACTCCCACTGCCTGGGTGGGGTGATGCCTGCTCAAGGGCACTAGCAGCCTGGGCAGGGCTTGAGACTCTGGTGTCTCTGTCCCCAGTCAGAGGCGGTTTGCACCAGGCCCTTACCTGGAGGCCAGGAGTCTGAACTGAAGATGCTGGCAGTTATTTGGGAAGGGGAGAGAAATGGGGTGTCATTCTACAGACCCCCAAACATGCAGCGGGCAGGCCCTTCATTCACCTGTGTCTAGGCACACACACAGATACACCCTATGCAATGTATGTTCCCCTGAACTGTACCCACATGTGCCCCTGGTTGGCAAGTAAGCCCACTTGCCCAGACACCCCTTATGCCCAGACACCCCTCCTCCAGGTGCGTGCGTGCAAACCCACTGACATACAGTACTCAAAAAGGCAGTGAGCTTGCTGGCACACCAAAAACAAAACCAGGACCCCACAGAGGAATCCAGAAGCATGGGAGGGGAGGAGAGACCACCCGCAACACTCGGTACCCACAGACCAGGGAATCTTCCTGGGGAAGGATGGGAGGAAGACTGTACTTAAGGGTATGTGTGGGGTGCACAGGTGGGCCTCAGTGGCAGCCGTTGTGGTTTGAGTCTGAGGTGGGGGCGAAAGATATGGATTTCTGGAGATAACTGAAAATTTTCAACACATATAAACAAAGGGGTGTAATCTTGGGCAGATCACTTAACTCCTTGAGGTCTCAGGGACTGCATCTGTAAAATGGGAATAATGAGAACACCATTTAAACTTGGTTGTGAAGTTTATTTCATTTTAATTAATCAATTTCTGGAGACATGGTCTCACTTTGTCACCACAGCTAGAGTGCAGTAGTGCAATCATGGCTCACTGCAGCCTTGACCTCCTGCGCTCAAGTGATCCTCTTGCCTTAGCCTCCGAAGTGGCTAGGACTACAGATGCTACTACCTGGCTGGCACAATAGGTAACTGAGTGCTGACTTTTATCCCTGGGAATGGAGGAGTCACGCAGTGCCTCTCTGTCCAGGCAAATGGGATATAAGGGTCAGGAGCTTGGGTGGAGGGGCTTCTAGGAATATTCCCGGGGACAGGCACTGCTGTCAGGAGCTACTGCCTGGGCCTACCAGCCTGTACCCTAGCTCAAAAAACATATTTGTCCTTGTTTCTCAGAGTCTGTATCCACCAGCTACTCTTCCAGATTCATGAGGCAAGGCCTGCCTGTTCACCTGGCTGGCCCCAAGCATCTCTTCAACCCGCTATCACCATCCTGCCTTGCCGCCCTTCTCAGATTCCAGCTCATCCAGCAGGGTCTCCAAGTCATAGAAATAGAAGCACGTACACACACACGTACTCATATACACACACCTACAGCCACATAAGCACACCCAGAAGCACCATCGCAGACATGTTCTCACAAGCACGTGCACATAACACATTAACTGCCCCTCACACTTATACACACGAATACACACACACTTATGCACTCCTAACCCCCAGTACCTGGGGATGCGACCTTAGTTGGAAACAAGGTATTCGTAGATGTAATCAAATTAAGATGAGATTGCACCGGATTAGACTGGGCCCTAAATCCAATGACTGGTGTCTTTTTAAGGAGAAAAAGATTTGGAAACAGAGACATGGAGACACAGATAAGAAGGTCATGTGAGGATGGAGTCAGAGATTGGAGTGATGCAGCTACAAGCCGAGTAATACCAAGGTGCTGGCAGCCACCAGAAACAAGGAGAGAAGCATGGAACAATCTCCATCAGAGCCTCCGGCAGAAAGACTCTGTCAACACCTGGAGTTCAGAATTTCGCATCCTTTACTGTGAGAGAATACATTTCCGTTGTTTTAAACCACTGAGTCACCAAGTCTGTGGTTATGTGTTGTGGTAGCCCCAGGCAACAAATCCAATCTCTCTCTCTCTCTCTTTCACACACACACACACACACACACACACACACACACACACACACACAGCTGGCTCCAGGCTCAGTGATGCAGCGGAGTTCCCCTTGGGAGCTGCTCTTTCTGTCTTCCTTCCTTTGTGGTTGGTCCAGTGGATCCACAAAAGCCATGGCCCAGAGCAGGAGCTCAGTCATTTTTAATTCCTCTTTCCTGGAGTTCTTAACCATGTGTTGCCCACAAAATCTGCTCTCAGGATTTGGGTTGCCATGTTTAGGAGCACCAGAAAACATAGAGGAATGCTGTGGCTGCTTTCATCATATTAATGAAAAATTGTAAACCACCTAAATAGCCCAGAATAGGTAAACAAATTGAGGCATATCCACTTAATGGAATACTACTCAGCAATACAAAAGGAAGACCTAGTGTTACTTGAGCAACATGGATGAACCTCACAGACATAACGTGGCACAGCACAAAGCAGGCACAAAAGAGTTCATACGCTATGATTCCATTTATATGAGGTTCAAGAACAGGCAAACCAGATCTATGGGGTTAGAAGTCAGAACAGCAGTTACCTCTGGGGTGTGGAATTGACTGGGAGGGGTTAGAGGGAGCCTCTCAGGGCACTGAAAATATTATGTGCTTGCACCTTGGTGTGATTGTATGGGCATTACATAAAATTCACCAAGTCGCACCCTTATGATTTGTACAATTTGATGCGCAAATCTGACATTTCAATTAAAGTAAATTTTACAAAGTACTCAAGAAGTGAACGACCAGAAGCCACCAGACTGTTTTCTGGGGACATTTATAGCTAGAGTCTGGACCCTCTAGGTCCACAGAAAGGCTTGGTCCCTGGGACAGCCGTACGTGGTATCATCGTTCAGTGCATGTGGAAGGGAATTCCATTCTTCAGTTGTGACTGGGCTGGAGACACATACCCACACATACACCTCTTGGCAGCTTCCCATCCTCATTCACAGTTGCAGGTTTGAGTGGGTCTGCCCCCAGGTCCCCTGCAGCCAGTCTCTGAAGCTGTCAAGGGTCCCCAGGTAGACTGATAAGTGGTGGGGGCAGGTAGCTAGTGAGAGGGACCTTCCTCCCTCTTTCACCATAGCTCTGGAGTGAACTGGCCTGGGGTGGCTGGCTGCAGGGCTTGCCTCGACCCCTGCTGCACCAGTGTCCTCAGCCTTGGGGCCTCTTGTATGGCTGACTTTCCATATTTGTTGACTATAAACGTCCAGCCTGGGGCTGCCTGGGAAGCCCAGGGGTGTCAAGACAGCCAGACCATCAAGACATTAGTCTTTGGGATGGAATGGGAGGTGCACAAGTTCCCACTGCAAATGGCTACTCCAAAGAGACTAAATGCGATGATTTCTTCCACCAGAAAGCCCCGAATGAAAAAGAATAGCTGCATTTTTCTCGGGTTTTGTAATCTGACTGGCACGCACAAACATCTTGGAGGTGTGTAGCAGTGTTGCCATTACACAGACAAGAAAACTGAGGTGCTGAGAAATTGATAAAACCCCCGGGGCCACAAGGGAAATTAAACAGAGGACAAGGGGCATGATAGTTCCTTCAGACTGGGGCTCCCTGAGAATGAGCTGCGTCTCCCCTAAGACGGCCTCCCTGAGGATTGCGTCTCCTTCAGACTGGGCTCCTTGATGACGGGACTGTGTCTCCCTAAGACTGGGGCTTCCTGAGGACAAGGCTGTGTCTCTCTCAGACTGAGGCTTCTTGTGCACCGGGCTGCATCTCCCTCAGACTCCCTCCTGTCCTCGGGCTCCTAGAGGACAGGGCTGCATCTTGCTCAGACTGGGGTTCCCAATAGACGGGGCTGCGTTCCCTCACTCTGGGGCAACCTTAGGACGGGGCTGCATCTCCCTCAGGCTGGGGCTCCCCGAGGACAGGGCTGGGTCTCCCCTCAGACTGGGGCTCCCCGAGGATGGGGCTGCGTCTCCCTCAGACTGGGGCTCCCTGAGGACGGTGCTGTGTCTCCCTTAGACTGGGTCTTCTTGAGGACGGGGCTGTCTTTCCTCAGTCTGAGCCCTATCTAGGAGGGTCTTAGAAGAGGATGTGGCCTTGAACCTGCCTTCCTTTGCATCCACACTGGCCTCCTGAAGTGTCTGGGAGCAGCTGCTGACCTGGCCACCCCTGCTCTTTCTTGCCCTGGCTAGGGCTCTACATATAGGAATGCTATAGCGTGAGGCCATGGTTCTGAGGGTCAAGAGGGGAATGGGGGAGAGTATGGCTGCTGTGCTAAGGTCAGTGGGGTGTCCCCACAGCTTCCCTCCCTTCCTGAAGAGGCCCACTGGGGGTCAGGTCAGGACTACCCAGCTGAGCCACACCAGAGCCACACTAAGTAGAGGTCTGGCTGGACCCTGCTTTTCCCAGTAGGATCAGCTGGAAGAGGGGCTCCATTTGAGGGTCTGTGGAGGGGGATAGGGCAGGAAGGCCTCCTGTAATGTCTAGGAGTAGGTGCTCCTTGCTCTGCCCATGCCTCGCCAGCAAGAGCTGGTCATGTGATGGGGGCCAGGTGGCAGGTGTAATAGGAGACAGCATCCTGCTCGGCCTGCCCTGTGACTATATTAAGTTCTGTGTCCTGGCGTTCCCCTACCCCTGCCCTCAGGACTTTTTCTTCTCCCTCAAGGGATCCTACACTGCAGATAAAGAAGCCATCCCTCCTTCCCAGCCCCACTGTCAGAGGAAAGGGCCAGGGGCCTAATGAGGTCAGAGCCCACGAGTGAGGGAGCAAATGCAGTAAATTTAGGCTTTGGGTGCTAATGAGCTGCAGAGGGAAGTGCCTAAGAAGGCCTTGGCAACCCTCAGACTCAGTCCTCCCCCCACAG